AAGAATACATAGTCTTAGTCCTCCCATTTCTTATGCAAAAGGTAGCATGCTATATATACTTGTACCTTGGTTTCTTGACCTAATATATCCTGGAGATCTTTCTAAATCGGTAAATAGAGATCTTCCTTATTCATTTTTTTCAGCTGCATAGTACTCTATTGCCTGGATATACATAATTTATGAACCAGCCTCTTCTGGGGGGGATACTTTATTTCCAGTCTTTTGCCAGTTGCAAACAAGACTACAGTGAATCACCTTGTACACATGACACTCCGTATGTGAGTAGGTATATACAGATAGGATAAATCTGGATCAAATAATAAATGCATCTGTAATTTTAGTAGAAATGGCCTCCATTCCCTTCAATTAAAGAGAAATGGCATATGAAAATAAATTTATTTATTTTTTTTTTTTTTTCAACGTTTATTTATTTTTGGGACAGAGAGAGACAGAGCATGAACGGGGGAGGGGCAGAGAGAGAGGGAGACACAGAATCGGAAACAGGCTCCAGGCTCTGAGCCATCAGCCCGGAGCCCGACGCGGGGCTCGAACTCACGGAGCGCGAGATCGTGACCTGGCTGAAGTCGGACGCTTAACCGACTGCGCCACCCAGGCGCCCCTGAAAATAAATTTAAAAGGCACTGTATGCACATACTTTTTCTTGTGGTAACACATACGTAAATTTTACCCTTTTAACCTTTTTTTTTTTTTTTTTGAGAAAGAGAGAGTACAAGTGGAGGAGGGGCAGAGGGAGACAGAATCTTAAGCAGACTCTGTGCTCCTCGTGGAGCCTGATGAGGAGCTGGATCTCACAACCATGAGATCATGACCTGAGCTGAAATGAAGAGTCGGATGCTCATTTTAGCCATTTTTAAGCATACAGTTCAATGGAACTAAGTACACTTACATTATTCTGCAACTGTAGGAGCCAAGGGCAGTCTACCCCAAAATGTGTCACTTTGGCATGCAGCTTATTTCAAGCTAAAAATAATCAAGGCCCAAAAGAGGAAGAAATTTTCACCTCCCACCTAACTGCTTAAAAGAACTTAAATAGAGGACCCTCTTCAGGAAGAGAGCTCTCACCATAGATAACTACATTATAATATTAACTAGGGGTGGTAAATAGGGAGGAACCTAGCACTGCCTGTTTGATCAAAGTCTCTTCTATGTCCCTTATCCCTCTCTCTCTTTTTTTTTTAATGTTTATTTATTTTGAGGGAGAGATGCAGAGTGTGAGTACGGGGGAGGGGCAGAGAGAGAGGGAGACTCAGAATTTTTCTCCTATTAATCTGTCCCACGTCAATTTAATTCTTAGATCAGCTAGAATACTTTTGAAGTGTAAAGGAAAACCAGCACAACCATCACCACTATCCAAACTCAGAAGTAAAAATGAAGAAACAGGACCAAATCAAACTCAAAAGCTTCTGCACAACAAAAGAAATAATTAACAAAATGAAATGGCAGCCTACAGAATGGGAGAAAATTTTTGCAAACCATATATCGAATAAAGGGTTAATATCCAAAATATACGAAGAACTAACACAACAACAAAAACAGTATGATTAAAGAATTTCCAGAAGAACTAAATAGAAAATTTTCCAGAGAGGGCAATAAAAGTGACCAACAGGCACATGAAAAGTTGTTCCAAATCACTAATCACCAGGGAAATAAAAATAAACACCACAATGAGGTATCACTTCTTATCTGTTAAAGAAAATGCTATCATTAAGAAGACAAGAGACAATAGGTGCTGGTGAGGATGAGGTGAAAATGGAAGCCTTATAAAACCTGTTGGGGGGAATGTAAATTAGTCTAACCACGGTGAAAACAATATGGAGTTTCCTTAAAAAATTAAAAACAGATCTACTGTATGGCCCAGCAATTCTACTTCTGAGTATATACCCAAAGAAAATGAAAACAGGTTTTCAACAAGATATATGTACACCCGTGTTTATCCCAACATTACTCACAATAGCCAAAATAATATGGAAACACCCAAACATCCATCAATGGATGAATGGATTACTATACGTATGTGTGTGTATATATATATATATATATATATATATATATATTTATATTTATATATGTATTATACATATACAGATATGTGTAGGTATATATCTAGATAGATAGATAGATAGATAATTAAATATTATTGAGCCATGAGAAAAAAAGGATCTCTTGCCATTTGTGGCAACACGGATGGACCTTAAGTACATTATGCTAAGTGAGATAAGTCAGATGAAGAAAGACAAATATAGTATGATATCATTTATATGGGCAATCTAAAAAAGTCAAACTTGTGAAAAAAACAAAGTAAAATGGTGGTTACTACAAGATGGAGGATAGGAAGGATAAGATCAATGGTGTTTAAGGATATAAACTTGTAACGAGTAGAAAACAAGTCATAGAAGTCTGATGCATGGTGTGATGGACATAGACAATAATACTGTACTGTAATGATGTGATAAATATTGCTTCAATGGCAGTCATATTACATATATAAATGTATCAAAGTAACACACTGTACACGTTAAACTTATAAAATTTAACGTGTCAGATTTATCAAATAAATAAATAGAAATACAGGAGACATATATATCCTCAGATTCAGGAAACCCAAGGGATTCCCACCAGAACAAACAAAAAGAAATACACATCTGGATTAAAAGTAGTGAAACTGCAGGAAAGCAATGACAATAATAAAACCATAAAAGGAGCAACACAGAAAAGGCATTTCCTACAAAGTACTGTTAGATTAATATCTGATTTCTCATAGCAGCAATGAAAGCCAGGAGACAAAGAAATTATGCTCAGTGAGATAAAAGACAATACTTGTCGGCTTATAATTCCTTAGCCAGCAAAATGATCCCTCAAAAATGGTGAAATAAAGACATTTTCAAGCAAATAAAACTGAGACGGTTCTTTGGATCCCATATGAGCTTTTTATTGCTGCATAACCAATTACTACACTCAGCGGCTTGAAAGAACACGGGTACTGTCTGTTTCTGTGGACGAGGAGTCTGGGTACAGATTAGCTGGATCCTTTATTCAGGGTCTCACCAGGCGGAAATCACCATGTACTGCAGGGCTGCAATCTCATCTGGGCTCCGGGTGCTCTTCCAGACTCACTGGGTATTGGCAGAATTCAGTTCCCGAGGAATGGCCCTCTCCACAATGTGGCAATTTATTTCTTCATGGTAAACAGGAGAGTCTTTCTGGCTTCTGGGAAAACCTAAACACTTTTAGAGGGCTCACCTGATTAGGACAGGCCCACCCAATTTCAAATAGGCAGGTTGAAATTTTTTTACTAACCACTAAAGGACATAAATAGATTGCATACTTTCAAAACAAGAGAGGGAATCCACAAATGGAAAAATCATTGCACTGTACTCTAAGAGGCTCCAACCAGCCTTCTTTCCCTCCCTCACTCAGGGTCATACTCAGATCACAGTCTGGTGGCCCTCTCAGCTTCTCCCAGCTTCCTTCCCATTTTCTCTTGCAGCCGTTTCCCATAATAGGTTTCTTGAACATTCAATCCTAACTTGGCAACTGGTTCTCAGATGACGTCCATGGATTAACACAAATCCCCAATTCATTGTATAAAATGAATACATCCATGACAGCAAAACCAGACAATGGCAATATAGGCAAAGAAAAGTACAGGCCAGGGGCACCTGGCTGGCTGAGCTGGAAGAGTGTGCAACTCTTCCTCTTGGAGCAGTGAGTTCAAGCCCAACGTTGAGTGCAGAGATTGCTTAAATAAAAGTTTAAGAAGAAAAGTATAGGTCAATCTCATTTACGAACACAGTGCAAAGTGCTAAACAATAATGAGCATGTTCAATTTAGCAATGTCTATACAACACTGCGACCAGAAATGCTAGGTGGGGCTTACTGGGTTTACTTCAGAAATACAGGGTTGGTTTAACGCTAGAATATCTATGAGGGTCTCCTAGAAAAAGAAACAAAAATTAGAATACTTGAAAGGGAAGAAGTAAAACTTATTTTTCCTAGATGGGGTGATTTTCTATGTAGAAAAACCAAAAGCACCTACAGAGAACTCATTAAAATTAGACAACTTTTCCAAGTCGTTTGATAGACAATCAGCACACAAAGGTTAAAGAGCCCCATTTACAATAGTGTCAAAATTAAGGTACCTGAATTAGATATAGTAAAACTGGTGCAAGATTTTATGGATAAAATTATTGAAAATTTGGTAAAGCTATTAAAGAGAGTTAAATAGATAGGAGTATACTTGTCCAAGGTTAGGAAAACTGGACATCATAGATGGAATGCAACCACAAAAAGTATTCATGTATGTGTGTGAAATTTGAAGAGCCGATCCCCAAATTTATACAGATGAACCAAGACCTGAGGGAAAAAACAATTGGCTCCCACCACCAGAATTCACTGATCTGAATGCTTGGCTCATCACCCAGGAGCAGCTGGTTTAACGGAAATGTGGAATGATCATCTGCAGGCTCAGTTACAGTACCAGTTGAGAGACAACACTCTGTGAAGTCAGACTGCTATCCTACAGGATGTGGTATATGCTTTAATCAAGATGGCATTGTGTGGTGCTGTCTCCCCCAGAGTCAGCAAGTACATGGGTAGAAACTAAGCGATACAGGTGGAAGTTTCCCTTCTTCCAGCACCCCTAATCCCCACTGGAAGGAGTTTTACACCCCCCCCCCCC